GCAGGACTAACTGTCTGCCTCTTAGTAAGGGCTCAGTAAATGCGCAGCTAATAATAACGTGTTATTATTACAAATGATGCTGAGTCCCAAGTAAAGGGAAAAAACGAGGTGATATAATAGAGCAGGGTTTTGTTTGTTTGTTATTTAAAGTAGGCTGTGAAAATTAGTAGATTGTGGCTTATTGGGCAGGGATCAACTTTTTTTTTTGAAATGAATAAGAAAATAAAATTGGAATAGAACAGAACAGAAATTTTCACAGGGCGGCAGACCAAAGATCATCGTGTTAATTACCACCCCACCCCACCCACCCCGCCCAGTGATCCAAAACGTTTAGGAGTCTGGGAAGTAAAAGAAATCTGGATGGGGAATGGAGGCTGCCTTTTAGATTAGGGGTTCCCGAAGGGCCTCTTGGAGGAGGTGACATTTGAGGAGAGTCCTGAAGGTTGAGAAGGAATGATCTTAGGTGCAAGTTAGAAGGAGATGATTGGAGGGAGAGTGCAGGGCTGCACATTTCTCCAAATCCGGGAGGAAGCAGGTGTCCATAGTGAGCCTGGAGCAGAGAGGGAAGGGGGACAGGCAGACACAAGCCTTGTGGGTCACCTAAGAACCAGCCTGACAGTTTTTAAATTAAAAATTAATGATCACTTAAGATCACTTGGTCAAGAGAAATTTTCAAACATTGCTGTTTTCTCATTTGAAACCAAAGAAAGCAAAGAAGTAGATTTGGAAACTATTCACGAATTTGCTGTCATTAAAACCAAGGAAGTAAAATTACACTAAATTCTTTGTAGGGTACAAATAAAACATTTAGACTTAAAATAATGTGAATTTCACTACACTTACTGTCCATGTTTTTTCAATATTTTTTCAATTATTTTAATGTTATGGAAAGAACACTTTAAAAATATAGGAAAAATCAGGTGCATATTTTGACTTTTGTCTTAGGTTCCTGAGCCCAGGAACTTACCTTTATTTAAAATTTGAATAAATTTTGATTTTTAATAAATTTAAATTTTAGATAAATAAAATAAAATGTAAATATCATAAATGATGTTTAAATTTTATCTAAAATGGCACAGGACTGGCCTTTATTTACAGTTCATCTTTTGCTCATCATGGGGTATTTTGCATTAATTTTTATTTTTTTTAAAAAGATTGCATTACACTAGCACTTATCGTGATCACTGAGTTTGGTGCACCTTACATTTTGCTCCTGGAGTCCATTCCTCACTTGGCCTTCTGCTGGTTGGGCCCTGCTTTGGACATTTCTCCAGGGAGGACATGGGGGATTTGAAGGCCTGAGAACTCAGATGTGAGTTTTGAAAAGATTGCGACTCTACTTAGGTGGACAGATAGGCAGAGGCTCAGGTCCTCTGAGGCCCTGCAGGGTCTTCCTCACCACCCCAGTGGCCTCATCTCTCCTCACATTTCCAGAGAATTCCTCTTTGTGCCTCAATCTCCCCATCTGTAGAAGGGAACTATAATATACCATTTGTTCCATCTCTTCAGAACCGAGCAGAAAAGAGAACTGTAAAGATGAAAACAGGTTTGATGTCTTACTATGTTGATGACTAGCAATTGTTTTGCCTCTGACCCCCACTCCCAAACCTTCTGGACTTCCCACTTCAGGAAAAGACTTTGACCAGCTTCACAAAAGGCAGCAAAGGATTGTCAGAGAAAGAGAACTCCGAGTGAAGGTAAGGAACTCAGACCAAGGATGGGGGGCCTGGACTCCTGAGTCTGAGGGAGGAGGGGCTGGAGGCCTGGACTTCTGGGTCTGAGAATGGAAGGACGTAGGACAGGGACTTCTGATCCCTGGGGTGGTGATGGAGCTACAGCAAGTCATGGTCCCTCTCTCGGCCATCACTGATGTCTCCTCCCTGTTGGGTCCTGCAGGTCTGGCCTAGGCCCAGGATCAAACCAGACCCCCTGGGGACCCCATCCCTTCCTGCCCGGACTATGAATTCATCTCCTCGAAGCCATAATGTCCGAGCTGTGTGGTGCGGGGCAGCCCTGGGCCTGCTGGTCCTTCCACCCCTGGAGGCATGGGGGTGGGAGGCAGGCTGGCCCAGCTCCCTGTTTCAGGGTGGGGGGCACTCAGTCTCCACTGTGTCTGTCTTCCCTTCCCCGGGGCTCTTCATCCAGGCGAGGGGCCATGCATGTCTGGGGGACCCCTGCCCCCCCAAACCCCTGTCTGTCTGTCTCTCTGTCTCTTTCCTGTTTGTACAAGACTTGGTGTCCTAACCCTCATTCTCGCCGTGAATGTCAATGGACCAATCCTCCGTGTTCCCCTAGACACACAAACACACCTGTGTCTACCCTTTCTGTTCACCACACCCCGCGTCTGGCCGATCCTCCCCACTGCTGCTGCTATCAACGCCAGAATAAACATATACCGTGGGTCTCACTCCACCTGGGGCTCCTGTCCTTTCTGGGTTGGGATGCTGGGTTGGAATACTCGGGCTCTGCATTCAAATAAATGTTTCATTCATTTGCTGGGTGATATTTGGCAACTTAATTGATTTCTCTGAGCCATAGTTCTTAAATTTCACGTTGGCCAGGACCACTGTGATTATAGGACACAAAATGCAACCCAAACTACTGTAAGCCACAGGCAGAATTGAAAGACCTTCATACATGGTGAGTTTGAGAATACAGAAGGACTTCAGGCATGGTTGGATCCAGGTGTTCAAGGAATTCTACTTTGTCCTGTTGACTTCATTCTCAGGCAGGCCTTTGCAGTGGTAATAAATGGCCATTTGGAACTGCAAGCTTATCGTGCTGCATCTGTTATGATGCCTCCCACTGCAGAAAATAGAATTCCCAACAGAAGGGGCTAAAATGGTAGAGATTTCTTTTGTTCACAAAACAAAACTGTCAAAGATATGCAGTCCCAGGGTTGGTTCAGGTGCTCAACAATTTCATGCACCAGGTTGGCGTCCCTAAGATTCGTTTTGCTTTCCCCTTGTGAGTACAAACTGTCTGCAGTGGTGCTATGCATTCTGTTCTTACAGAGTGACATCTGAAACAGAAAACGTGGATGGGGCGTCTCCTTATGTGTTTGTCTTTTTCTCCCCAGAAGGGTTCTCCTTATTTCTCATTTGCTGGAATTAGGTTCTATGGCCACCCTGGGTTGCAAAGCAGTTTGGAAAGTGAGCATCTGTCATTTCTAGTCTGTATCACAGAGTGTGGGCTTTGCCAATGAGGAAGCACAGAAAGAGGAATGATTTTTGGGTAGGAAATTAATAGGACCTATTGCAATTGCAAGAAATTAGGAAACAAAATTAGGGTATTCTCCCTCTCTCTCTCTCTCTCTCTCTGCATCCTTATCATTCAGGAAAAGTATTTGGATTGGTTCTGCTCAGGCCTTGGATAATCACCTCCAGCTCAGCATGTGTCCAGTTGGCAAACTTGCCCTTGGGCCCACCCCCTGCCATGGCTGACTCCTCCTCCCCTGCCCATCTCACCTGGATGGGCCCAGAACCCCTCAGGAACTCATCCCTTCTGGCCCGGCTGTGAATTCATTTCCTGAAATCATAACACTCTTTAGTAGAAAACATAGGGGTCCCTTGATTGGCCGCCCAAACAGAATCACATGGCAGCGCGTGAGACTGTCCTTCAAAGTACTGGATGTCCATTACATTCCACCCTCTGCTAGTCCATGTTAATTCACACCCAGTTGGCCTTACACACCATCTCAAAAAATTCTACCAGGAAAAAATGGTACAACCACTGTATTAGTTTGCTGGGGCTGCCATAACAAATTACCGCCAACTAGCTGGCTGAAAGGAACAAAACGTATTCTCTGATAGTTCTGGAGACCAGAAGTCTGAAGGCAACGTGCCAGCAGGGTTGATTGCTTCTGAGGCTCTGGGAGAGAATCCATACTATGCCTCTCACCTAGCTCCTGGTACCTGCTTGAAATCTTTGATGTTCCTTGGCTTGTAGATGCACCATTACAATATCTGCTTCCATCTTCACATCACCTCCCCCTGTGTGGCTCTGTGTCTCAAATCTGCCTCCCCCATTTCCTCTATTTTAATACACGTATAACACTGATTTTTTTTCTTTATTGCTTACTCTAACTAGGTGTATGTTTACTCTCTTTTCTCAAAGAGTGGGCTGCACTTTTCAAACCCTAATAAATGTCAAGATTATAAAGGCACAATACCATTTGTAAAGTTCAGCTTAAAGGTAAACAGTGCAACCTGTTAGCACCCACAAGAATTGCAAGTTGATTTTAACCTAATAAATGTTCTGAAAATACTCCTAAGAAGAGAGTCCATCATGCCAAAGAAACTTACTCTTTAAATCAATGTCATACTCTGCCTGTTTCTTGCTCATACAATCTTTGATGATGCCACTAGCTTTAACAAGTTTATCTGGTACCCAAGTGAGCCTTGGAAGTCAGGCAGCCTAAACTCAAATTCCTCCTCCTTACATATTATCTTTATGACTTTGGGCAAAGTATGTAATCTCTCTCTGCCCCAATTTCTTTAACTGTAAGATAGAGAAATGATAATGCCTACTTCACAAGAGCGTTATGCAGATTAAGTGAAAAAACGCACACGAGCCCCTTAGCGTGGTATTTAATATATAGTAACTGACTCAAACGTTAGCTAATAACATGGGTAATAATGGTGATTGTAATTGCTAATAATTATTATTTATGATTAGAATATACTTGTACATTAGGATCTTCATAATTGTTTTCATATTGACTGACCTACTGTGTAAGTATCAGCTGTTCCAGACAGGAGAAAGGGGTTTCAATGCAGGAAAACAGAAGCAGGAGGATTTTTATCACCAATTTGCTTGGAATATGCATAAGTTGTTTACAGTCATCAATGTATCTTTACATTTTTTTCTGCCTTTCTCTCTTTTTTTAATTTTTTAACTTTTTTTGAGGAGGAGGTAACTAGATTTATTTATTTGTTGATTCTTAGAGGAGGTACTGGGGATTGAACCCAGGACCTCATGCATGCTAAGCATGCACTCTACCACTTGAGCTATATCCTCCCCCCTGCCTTTTTCTTCTAAGGACACCTGTCTTTGGCTTTAGGGACACCTCTAAGTCCAGGATGATTTCATCTAGAAATCCTTAATTCAACATCTACAAAGACATTTTTTCCAAATAAGGTCATTTCACAGGTTCTGGGGTGTTAGGACATGGACATGTCTTTTGGAGACCACCATTCAACCTGCTACAACTACCTTGAAAAGAGTTTATCAGTTTCTTCTAAAGTGAAACATGAACTTACCATGTGAATGTGACTCTGTAATCTCACTCCTAAGTATTCACCCATGAGAAATAAAAACATGTATCTCCACATATATTCATAGCAACCTTATTCACGATAGCCCCAATCTGGAAAATTGGAAGCAACTGAAGTGTTCATCAACAGGAAAGGGTAAATAAATTGCATGGCCATAGGATGGAATGCTACTCAGCAAAAACAAAAACAAAAAACTACCTACTGATACCAATAGCACCATGGATAAGTCTCAGAAGCAGTGTGTCTTGTGAAAGAAGCCAGACACAAAAGAATACAAATTGGATGATTCCATCTATATGAAGTTGTAGGCAAGGAAACACTAATCCATAAGGACAGAAATCAGATTAGGGTTGCCTGGGGCCAAGGGAGTAGAGATGGGGGATTGATTACATACAGGTACAATGGAATCCTTTGGGATGTTGGAACTGTTCTGTAACTTGATTGTGGAGGTAGTCAGACACTGCATATACTTGTCAAAACTCATTGAAGAATATGCTTAAAATTGGTGCATTAAAATTTTTTAAATTGTGGCAAAATACACTTAACATGAAATTTACCATCTTAACCCTTTTGAAAGTACAGCTTGGTAGTGTTAGATACATTCACATGGTTGTGCAAACAATCTCCAGAACTCTTTTCATCTTCCAAAAATGGAAACTTTATACTCATTGTACAACAACTCTTCATCCCCCCACCCCTCCCTCAGTCCCTGGCAGCCACCATTCTAGTGTCTCCATGAATTTGGCTACTCTAGGTACCTCATCAGATAAGTGGAATCACAGCATTTTCCTTCAGCTGTAACAAATGCACCACACTACTGTAAAACGTTATAATAGAGGGAATTAGCAGAGGGCTATTAGGGCGTAGGAAATTAGGGTACACTGTTCCCATTAGGGTATAAGGGAGCTTTCTGTACTTTTCTCTTTTTTTTTTTTGTAAACCTAAAACTGATTTTTGAAAAAACCTATTAATTTTTTTAAAGGATAACAGAGGCCGACCAGGCAAAAAACCACAGGCGCCCATTATACAGGTCCACAGCCGCAGTCGGTGTCCAATCTAACAATAGTTTGCACGTCTAGGGGTGATTATGGAGATTGGAAGGAATAATGAAAGTGAATGCCCTTTGCATATTGAAGTATTTGTGACCAAGGTCATTCATTATTCCTGGGCACACAGTTTCTTTCTTCCTGTGTTACACACAGTTCTCTAAACGTTCGTTATGACTGCTAGTGCAGAGATGTAGCCAATCAAGAGTGGCTCGCCAGGGACGTCACCAGTCACCAAGGCCTCCAAGGGCCCAGCACACTGTGGCGCCCTCTGGCGGAGGAAAGGGAGGCTGTAACCGAGAGACAGCCAATCTGGTCAGCTGACTTCGGCCGAGTTCCAGTGCCTGGTGCAACACCCCTCACGCCCCCTGGCGACTCAAGTCACTTTCCATCTCCAGAAACCCGACCAGGAGCAAGAAATGCCGAGAAATTGGGAAGAGCAAAATTCCCTCGCATCCAATCAGATACTGGAATTAACTCAGCAGACATCCAATCAGATGAGCGGAGCCAACCAAACAGCGCAGGTGTCCAATTAGATGAGGCAGAGTTGCCAAGACGACGCCAGTCTCTATAGGGCTTGCAGGGTCTCTGAGTTCAGACGCTTGAGCGCCACCTGGCGCTTGACAGCGCTTGGCCGCTTACTCCAGCAAGCGCGTGCCGGTTGAAGGCAGCCAATGAGGCGGGGCAAGGCCTCCGTGACGTCACTAGTTGCGGACCCGGTCCCTGGAGCGCGTGAGCTCGAAGGCAGGTTCGCGCGAGTTCCTGCGAGCCCGCTGGCGGGTCGCGCGCACTTTCTCCAGAGCAGCGATTGGTGCGCATGCGCTCGTGTTTCTTTTTTCTTTTTTTTTTCAGCGTGAGCGCGGTAAAAGGCGGGAAAGGGCCTGAGGCGAGGTGTGAGGCGAGAGGCTCCCGGTGGGGACGGCCAGACTGACTAACTGGCAGATGGACTGAGGCAAGCCCTTCAGTCCCAGAAAAGGCCTAGGAGTGGATATGGCCCCATAAAAGTCTTGTTGAGGAACAGAGCCCCAGAGGTGGACATCCAGAGACACACTGGAAGAAAGCGCTCCCAAGGGACAGAGACCCCCACATATGCACACCTACTGAAACAGAAGATGATTCAGACACGTTAGAAAGCTGAAGTGATGGAGAAGCAGGAAGCGACTGA